ATGAAGAAGATGACCTCGTGGCGTACGTTGGTTGGTTCTTTTGAATTTCGCGCGCAGAATCCACTAATACATTTGTTTTCTTTTATATTATTTATTCGTTACTATATGTTAACAACGCGCGCAGTGGTTCAGTGGCAAGGCACATACGCTGGCAACATCCATGACCTGGGTTCGAGCCCCAGGTCTGCATTATCTCAATGTTATTTTTCCATTTACGTTCACATGCAGCTGCAGTGTAAAGGCCCACCATACACTCACAAAATCCAGCCTTCCACGCGTATGCTTAGGTCAATCCAAAGGCTACAGTTTGAAGGACACCATGAACGTGAGTCAATGCACTCTCACGCTGGGATGAAAGGTCAACGAAATCAGGAGCTTAATGGGCCTGAAAGTGTTAACAAGCCCTCCACTTTGGGGTCTGAACCCCCTTGGTTTGCAATTTTTTCACTTTCTTTATGTTTTCTTATTTTTTATTTTCTTTTGATTATTGTCTTTAATTAATTCCTTATTTTCACAAAAAATATAAAATATCATAAAAAAATCAGAAAAAAGTTAAAACAATAAATAATTTTTATTTTAGTATTTTCTTAAATAAATTTGCATGTAAATAAAATTAGTTTTTAAATTAGGTGTTAATTTTAATTCTTTTAACAATAAATTAAAAAAAACATAGAATTAGGTTTGATTAAATTTTATTCCTTTTTATTTTTCTTTTATAATAATTAAAATAACTAAATATTTATTTTCATAAATTAAATTGCATATAAAAATTAGGTTTAAAATTAGGTTTAAAATTAGGTTAGAATTCAATATTTTTCTTAATAAATTAAAATAAAATAGAATTAGGGTTAGCGTTTAACTTCAATTAATTTTTTCTATTAAATCTTAAAATACTAAAAATACAAAAAAAACAATTCTTTCTTTCTTTTAATATTAATTAATTCTTCATTAATTTAATTTTTGCAAAAGGGTCCAACGCCCTCGTTTCGATTTAATTTTTATTCGCATGTTTATTTATTTCTTTTCCGCTTAAATATTTATGTAATTCTCCCGAAGCCTTGTAATTAACCTTCTCGCACTTTTATTTACTTTATTTATTTTCTGTCAAATCGGGTTCGAGAAACTTTTGGCGATGTGGACCCGCGCCTTTTGTAATAGCTTTAGATTTTTACTTTTTTCGCAATTCTTTTTAACTGTTAATCAAAGGCATGAAAGAATGTATGGACAAAAAATAAAAACAAACGCATAGATCACCCATAACCTGACAAGACAAAAATAACTGAACATGACACACAAATCACACACCACCCCTAGGGTACGCCTCACAGTTGCCTTGCCTCGAAAGGTGATCGTCAAGTAGAGGATGTTTTAGTAAGTCCTCATGATCCGGGAACCTGGCATGAGGGTAGCTTCTAAGGTGTCTTCCCATTGCTCTGGTGATCACCATGTCCCGAACCTCGAATTGACCCGAACACCTCCAACGGTGGTGCTACCTACCTCTCAATGGTGGGATGGCACTACTTTTAAGGACATTTACACAGACGAATTCCTTAGGGTAGGTAGACAACTCTAGGTACTTGCTCTAATTTCAAAACAAAAATTCAAAAATACTTTTCACACCGACACCTTTTCAAAAAGCTTTCGAAAGCAACTTTTCAAACACTCTTGAGGACAGATACAAGAGTCGAACTGAAATTTTCAAAGAAACTTTTTAAAACCCACAGTTGAAAAGCAAACAAACCATTTTTGAAAACACAAGTGAGCAAGTATCTAAGAGCCCATGGATAACCATGGATAGAAAGGGTGCTAACACCTTCCCTTTCTATAACCTACCTCCGGAACCGAGAGCAATCTCTATAAGGAATTTTTCTGTGCTTTTGTCCTTTCCATTTGGAGAAAATAAAAGACGGTGGCGACTCTTGCTTCCGCGACATCTCGCGAACCAGCGTTAAACAGTCAGTTCCAGATCCACCGATCACAATCTGTAACTTATTCAATTCTTAACAACAGCAAATCAGAAAGATAAAAGCACGACAGTTTATAGAAGTTATAATCCTAATTCTGAGTCTAGCTTTATTCAAGAAGTTCTGATCCACAGTTTTTCTACTTATGTAATGATATGGACATCATCAACACTATAATATTTACATATTTAATGATGTTCTGAATAAAAAATTCAAAGTCAGAAAGACTTACCTTGAATCTGAAGCGTGTGTTTGGGACTTGAGTTGCTGCCTTCAGATGTTCTGGGGTTAGCAAGGAATGGAACAGAACATTATGTTCTTTGATTTTGTTTGGAAATTCTGGGTTTACAAATGTTTGACTGTTTTCTTTTCTCCCTTTGATAATTCTTTCTTTTCAAAAGTCAGCCCCTTGAACGTGTAATGGAACAACTTATTTATAGATGGGTTTGTTGTGGTTTTGGGGGAAAAAACATATGGGATTTTAAACCTTTTGGGCATATTGTTCCATTGCTTTTTAAACACAGCTTTTGTATTCTAATTTGGTGCAATTATGGGGTTTGAGAAAAATGCAAGCGTGGACTGGATCAACAGCACTTTGGAGCATTATGGCAGCTGGTTGCAAGACTGTGCTATAGCAGTGCCGCAGGCTGCTCAAACGAGGTTTTGGGATTTAGTGATGTTCTGATCGCAGAAGACCAAAGTGAGATTCGAATGGTGAGGCTCTGATCGAAGCATATGCTGAAGAGTCATGTTCTGATTGAAGAATCATGTTTTGAACCATGTTTGCAAATTCTGACTGCACTCGCGTGGAGGCTGGCCCAGAAGTTCTGAAGTATCATATTCTCTTAACACTTAAAAAAATTTCTAAGTGTTTAGAAATTTGATTTTTCAAAGCAATTTCTGACTTCTGATTTCTTGATGAACCAACTTCATGTCTTGATGAAATATGATTTTTGAAACTTGATTTTGATCAAAAAGTCAAAGTTTGACTTTTCACCGTGCATTTGACCATTTTGCCCTTGTGAATGACTTTCTTGAAAATTTGTAATCCAAGACTTGAAACTTGACAGAAGCAATCTTGAGGGTCCACGATGATCCCTTTAGAAAATAAGAGGGTAAATTTTGGGGTACAACACTTACACAGGCCCAAAACGATATTTTTGGAACAAGTGATTTTATCTCCAACTATACATAAGTTTCTAAAATTGGATGTTGAGACAATTTAGGAAACTTGTGATTTTTTTCTTCCATAATTCAAGGAGACTTTTCTGTATAATTGGTGCAGTCCTCGGCTTGTAGATCAACAACAAATTGGATGAAGATTTCGAAGCCATGGACTGTTGAGAAGTTTATAAAGAAAATAAACCTAATGTTAAAAAGAACTTAAGAAAAAATAAGGGGAAGCTTAGTTTTCAAGAATCTTTGGGTTTGAGAGTTTTTCAAGTGTGTTTTGTTTTTGTATGTCACTCATTTATCTTGTTTGATGCATAGAGTTTGACTGATTGTTTATTGTTCATTGTCAATCACTCATGAACTTTTGAACAAAAAGTATATTGTGTTAAATTAGAAGTGTGTTCTTCAGTTTTGGTCTTTTGTTATTATCATTGAGGTGATTGTGGGAAGTGAGAGGGTGTTCTAATATCTAAGAGATTCCTAGATAGAAATTGTATAGGTAGTGATTAGGTGATAAGTTGTAAATTGAGATTGTATTAGAGATATGATGTCTTAACATCTGTATTGACATTGTGTTTTGTTGTTTTGACATCAGTCATAACATCTATTTGAGAGTGACCGAATTTCAAACTTGTCCCAAATTTTTCAAAAAATCCGATATGTTTTATATGTTACTCTTAAAACATCCGATAATTCTTTAATTTTTTGAAAATATTCAGAATGTTTTCAAAAGATTCGTTATTTCTTCATCCAAACGATGAAATTTAAAAAAAAAAAAATCTGATACTTGCATAAAAAATCCAATATTTAAATAAACTTTTAAAACATCTAGAAATTTTTAGTAAATGCATAAGTTTAATTGCAGCCCCTCATGTGAGAGGTCAGGTCAAGGTAAGGAGTATCAGGATAAAATCTCTCATTATTATCTTCCTCTAATGTGGATGCACTTGTTGTAATCCATCATAAGAAAATGTGGAGCTTCTTCGACCACTGGACCGTGGTTGCACCTGTTGTAGTCTCTGCCATTCTTCAAACTTTATATATAAAACTTATCAACTATTTTTTATTAAATATAAGTCCAAATCAATTTTATAATAATCTGCAACTCATATAACATTGATAGTTAAGTATGGAAATTTTTAAGAATTAGAATTAGAATTTTATATATATATATATATATATATATATATATATATATATATATATATATATATATATATATGAAGTTTTGCTAATAAATTATTATTAATTTCATTGTTTAATTTTAAAAATATGTGCTCAATGAGGCTTTAACCTGCAACCAATAATATCAAAAGTTAGAATTGATGCTTAATATGATCCAACAAACTATAACTTAACATATGATTTTTGATGAAAACAAGTGTTTCTGAATAAGGTTTTTAATGAAAACAAGTGTTTCTGAATAGGGTTTCTTAACAAATGAAATAAGAATTTAATAAACACTCTAGGATAAAATAAGTGTTTCTGAATAAGGTTTCTTCCATCATCACAATACAAATTAAAATTAGGATGGCAATAACAACAGAATTGATTTTATAACTGATATCATACCCAGACTCTGTCCTTATAAAGATCCACCTCAGTCTGGTTTGTTTTTTCACAGAAAAATTCAAGTGAAATGCAACTTGCAGTAAATATCAAGGATTCAATAGCTTTTGGACTTCTTCAATAAATATAGTACTAAATAGGCTTTTCTTTTTACTCCGCGACGTATTAGCAGCAATATATTAAAAAAAATTGTTAAAACTTTCAAAAAAATTGTTATATCTGAAACTGATGCTACTTTTGTCCCAGGTAAATAATGTTCTCTATCTCAGTTGTTCTAATGTCCCTAATGTATGACTACCAATAATCTCCACAAGTACATTTTCCATCCTCAAATCGATGAAACCGATTATTGTCTCTCACAATGATTACCCTTCCAGTGCATTTACTAATAAACTTGATTGCAGTGTGACAATCACCACAAACTCTCAAATTCTTCATCACTCTAATTGGTTGTCCCTTAGGGAAAGTGATAAGTCCAAATGCAATAGCTAATCTCTCACTATGATACCTAATAGTTCTATTCTTCTCCTCACCACCCACTTCTTTTAACACAAAAGAAGTATCAGCAACATAACCAGCTTTATCCATTTCTTCTCCCAACTCCTCTAACTTCTTGTAAATTTCAAATGTCTTCGCATGAGACCTATCCCCGGCAGCAAATGTGTGAACTCTATTCCCTTCTTCCACCCAACTCAACCCAGTTTCCTTCTTTATTCCGCAGTCTCTCATTGTCTTTCTCGCTTTCGCCGCTTCCTCCCATCTCCCAGCAGCAGCATAAGCATTCGAGAGCATAACAAGAAATCCAGAACTCACAGAACCTGTCCCAGAAACTTTGTCCGCAACATAAGATGCCAATTCAGGATTCCCATGTAATCTACATCCAGTTAACAAAGCTCCCCAAACAGATTCAGTCGGTTCCATAGGCATTTCCTCAATCATCTTAACTGCATCGTCTAACTTCCCCGCACGACCAAGCAAATCCACCATGGTTGAATAATGTTGTGTCCCAGGTTCAATACCATAATCCTTCATCAACTCAAAGTAATACTTACCCTTCTCTACCAACCCTGCATGGCTGCATGCATAAAGTACACACAAAAAGGTAATAAAATTAGCCTTCGCCCCACCAACACTCTTCATCTTATCAAACAACTCAAACGTTTTACTGGTATGTGCATGCTGAGCACAAGCAATCAACATAGCATTCCACATTCCAAGGTTCCTAACAGTAACTTCCTCAAAAACATCATAAGCTTCTTCAACAACCCCACATTTGGAATACAAAGAAATCAAAGAACTCGCCACAAAGCAAGACAAATCAAAACTCGTCTTGAAACTCAATCCATGTACCAGCTTCCCCATCTGAAGCAAAGTAGAACTACCACAAACCCTTAAAACACTCGACAATGTAAAATCATTAACACCATCGTCTTCTTCAACAAGAAACCGTTTAAAAAGTCTCAAAGCTTCATCATCCTCACCCAATTGAACATACCCGTAAATCAACCCACTCCAAGAAACAACATTTCTTTTCGGCATTTCATCAAACACATTACGTGCAAAACCGATATCTCCACATTTAGCATACATATCAATAATTGAACTCCCCACAAAAAGATCAACATGATAAGCAGTTTTAAAAGCAAAGCAATGGAGCGATCGAGCAACGGGCAACGACGATAGAATCGCACATGATTTTGTGGCACTCGGGAAAATATGGTCGTCCGGAGGTAAACCATGACGGAGCATGAGACGGAAGAATTCCAGAGAAACCAAAGGAAGATCATTTTGAGCAAATGAAGAGATGATTGAACTCCATGTGGTGGCGGATTTGTGAGGGGAGTCGTTGAAGATTTGAAGAGAGGAATAAGGAAGATGGGTTTTGGAGTAGAAATTGATGAGGTGATGAGAGAGAAGAGGGATTGTTTGTAAACCCAATTTGATAATATGAGCATGAAGTTGAAGTCCTTTGGGGAGTGAGCGAGAGTATGTTAGAGACAGAAGAGTGTTGCAAATATTTCTATACAAGGGTTGTTGATTAAAGTTGAAGGGAAGTTGAAGTTGAGAATCAACCATTAGTTTGTTAGATTTGGCAACAACGTTAGTTAGTTCCGAAAACAACTTTGATATTGGTTTCTCAAGGAGTTGTTTATGTCGTCAAACGCATTGAACTCTTGTTTTCGCATAAAACTAATGATATTGATTTAATTTTGGAAATAGAGTCTTATATATTTTCCTTTAGTCTTTTATTTAACATTGGTTCTCTAATGTTTCTGCATCTAGAGAATTGCTTCTTAGTAGCACCTATGGGGTTCTCTGGATTGAAGAATTTGAGAACTCTTTTGTTGCATCTCATTGTTGTGGAGAATAAACTATTTCAAGGTTTGATTTTCAATTGCGTTTGTCTCGAAGATTTCATCGTTGATGACTGTGACTTCAAGTCTAGGTTGAAAATTATTAGTCCAACATTGTCTCATTTGAAAATTCTTAATTATCGCACTGAGTTTACGACTGTCATGGATATCATTGCCCCAAATCTCTCATCCCTTGAATATTCTTGTAAGGGTAATAGAGTACACCCAATCAACCTTCTGACTCAAATGTTATTGCAGTTTAGCTACAGATGTAGCCAAATTATTGAATTTATTCCGTTAGATAGATTGAAAAATGTGGCAACAATTGTGTTGGATTGAATTGATGAATGTCTCCAATCTTTTGTTATACCGAATTTGTTTAAAGAATGTCTCCAACTTGTCTAAAGGTGAGTTATTCAACTTTTTATTCTAATATTCTTTGGTGTTTTTGAAAATTTAATAATTAAACTTCTTAATAAATAATAGTTCTCTAAATTGTTATAAGTTCACGAGAGAATAATGTAATCAACACTTTTTACCTAACTTATATATTTAATCTTATCATACATAACCTTAATCATTATTAAACAATTTCTTATTTCAAGTAAAATAATATCAATTGTATTATAAGCATAATGAAATTTAATTTTTTTTATGTGTAATAATATCATGATTGTTATTTTTCATATTTCAGGTTAGAAGTTCACTGATGGTTGGTGGAAATCTAGATTAAAGAAGACCATTGCGTAACTTTTTTTAGTTAGGAGATCTAAGCGAAACTTCACTTAAAATTAAAGGATTTATGGACTAATTACGCCTTTATTTAAAGTTCAACCATTGGCTTTTTGTTGGACTTCATATTTATGAGTTATATTTTATAATTAGCTATTGTTAAATATTTTTTTAATAAAAGTCAATGATTAGTTAATCAACTAAGAATTCATTCTTAAGGAATAATCTCTTTGGGCGTCTGCTGCACCTAATGTAATTTAAATTTCATAAGATGATTAATCAAATCGTCATTAGCCATTCCAGTGAATGGATACGGATACAAGAGTTAGAAGATGTTGGTGTTCATCTCCCTTTTTCTGTGGTTTGGACCAAAATCTCTTGATGTGAGCAAATCTTTATGGACTATTGATGTTCATCTATGGTGTTATGGGAGGATCTACTTGCTCTACTATATTTTTAGATGTAGTTGATTACGTAATGACAGAAGTAGATGATTCTCGATGTTTTTCTCTAAGCATGATGAGTCTTTTCTTCTCTTCTTTACTTATATTATTTTTAGTCATTCTCCCAATCTTTGAGTCAAAGATAAATTGATCGAATAGGTTTTTAATTAGCATACACATAAAAACCTACACCCTACACCAATGGTTATAAAAATGTGAATATATATCAAATACTATTATGTGCAAATAAAATATAAATAAAATTGTTTAAACGAATATAAACAACTATTATGTTTAAAGTATAGCAGAGGCAGAATTGTTAGAATTAATTTAGATTTTATAATTAATTAGATATTAATTTATATTTAGGAATATCTTTTAGATTGTTTATATCTTTGTTAGAAGATATATATCTTAGATCCTTATATCTTTTTAGAAAATATATTTTAGATTTAATTTTGTGTATAAATAGCCAAGTGGGATAGGTTATTGTAATTCATTGTAAATCCTTATGTTGAAGCTGTCAGTAAATATTCCTTTTGCCTTCTATCTTTCTTGTGCACCAACAATTGGTATCTAAAGCCCTGGTTTAAAATCCACGGGGAAAAGAAGTATTGTGATTAAGAATTACAATATTCTAATTCTGGGATTTGGGAAACACTGATTCTGATTCTGAATTTCTGCGTATTGCACAAGGTAGAAGATGAACGGAAACAACGGCGATATTCATTCCAAGCTTCCGGTATTTGATGGAAAAAACTGGAATCGTTGGAAAATCCATATGTGCGTGTTATTTGGTTCTCAAGATGTGTTAGATCTTGTCAACAATGGCTATGATCTGTTAGAAGCAGACGCAACAGAGGCACAAAAGATAACACATAGGGCGCTAAGAAAGAAATATCAGAAGGCGTTGTTCTACATCCATAAATGTGTGGATGCAAATATATTTGAGAAGATTGCTAATTTTGAAATAGTAAAGTCTGCGTGGGACACACTGGTCAGATGTTACGATGGTAACGCATCAGTGAAGAATGTGAAGCTTCAGTCTCTCAGAAAGCAATATGAGAATCTCAACATGAAGGACAACGAGAAGGTTTCAGAATACATCTCTAGAGTGATTCTGATCACTAATGAGATGAAAGCTTGTGGAGAAACCCTTTATGAACAAATAATCATTGAGAAGATCTTAAGATATTTAACTTCTCAATTTTATTATATTGTGGTAGCAATTAAACATTCTATAGATCTGAGCACCATGAGAGTTGAAGAGTTGAAAAGTAGTCTAGAGGTGCATGAGTTGCGTATGACTGCAAGAACTTCTGAGAAGGAAGTAGAGCAGAAGACTCTAAAAGTAACTTCTGGTAAGAAGCATCAGAAGCAGACTTGGTCAGAAGCCAGGAAGAAAACTAATGGTGTTCAAAGGTCAAAATCTTCAAACTCTGATAAGAAGATGAATGTCCAGAAGGGAAAGGAGAAGTCTGACAAGAAGAATGTTCAGTGTTATTGTTGCAAGAACTTTAGTCATTATGCCAGAGATTGCTGGTCCAACAAACAAAGGAAGTCAGAAGAAGCAAATATAGTAAGAGGAGAGTCTGATGATGAACATGTGCTATTGTTGGCTACTGAACCTGATGATCTGAATTCATCATAATGGTGGTTGTGATACGGTGGGAGAACTGACTAGAGGTTTGCGTTTTGTATTCGCACTTGTTCGGTTGAGCAAGAGTCGCCACCGACTTTTTATTTTATCCTAAAGGAAAGGTTGAAAAAGCACAGCAAAAACCTTTTGAGATATTTCGTGGGTTCGGGGGGTAGATTATGAAAAGGGAAGGTATTAGCACCCTTTTCATCCATGGTTATCCATGGGCTCTTAGTTACTTGGTTTTTAGATCACTTGCTTTGATTTTCGATTGCTTTGAAAATGGTGTGTGTGTGTGTGTGTTTGAAAATGTTTTTGAAGAAGATGCCTTGTCTTAGGCAACCAATGTATTTGACTCGTGTTTGAGTGTTTTACAAAAGTGTGGATCTTTTCGAAAAGATGTTTCAAATGTTTTTGAGGGTTGTTTGAAAGTGTTTGTGAAGTGTGGTTTTTGAAAAGAAGGCAAGTGTTTTTGCAAGTTGATCTCAAGTAACTAAGAGTTTTGTCTACCTCTATTGCACTCAAAGGTTTTCTCTATGTTTTCAACCCCTTTTAACAATTTTGTTCCACCATTGAATTTGGTGGACAATCTTGCGTTTAGGGTGTTTAACGGGACAGGCGCGGGTCATCGTATAGACCATGAATGCAATGGTGCCAAGTATCTTTGTCAATTTGCTTTGAAGGGACTATGATCATTCCATTTAGGCAACTTTCGAAAGCGCCATCGAGGGACTTATGGTCATTTGAATTTGTTTTGCCAAAGAAACTCGACGTGCAAGCATGGCCCATTTCGGAAGGCAAAATGTGGGATTACCCTAGGGGGTGCAAGTGTGATTGTGTATTGATTTCATGTATTTGTCTTTGTATTAGGTTATCTAGCGTTTGATTTTATGTACATGCAAACCCTAGGTCTAACCATGGTATAATTGAAAGCGGTAAATTGTAAGAATTTAAAATCTACGCTATTACAAATAGTATCCGGGAGTGGGGGTACAAATTCACAAATGGGGATGAGACTTTAAGAATGTAGTATCCAATAATTTACAACCAAATCGAATGCGGTAAAAGTGTAAATAATGTAACGAATATACAAAATAAGCAAATGTAATTGTATGTGTATCAAATGTAAAGTGTATTGTGTAGGTGTACGTGTAAGTGTATATGTGTATGTAATTTATTTACAGGTTAAGATGTGAATTTAAATGCGTATTATTAAGTATTGTTAACTTAAATGAAAAGAATTAAATGTTTATTTAATTAGTCTTTTGTAGTCTTGTATATTTCTTCAATATGTACAGAAAGAAAATTTACTAAAAGAAAAGAGAATGTTCTAAGTTTGATTGGATTATGTATGTTAAAAAGAGTATTTTAATTGATTATGTACCAATATTTCTAAGAAAAAGAAAATGTATTAACTTAAAGGGAATTAATGTATGAATCAAAATAAGTTTAGATAAAATAAAAAATGTTTTAAACAATGTATTTTTATGTATTTTACGTATTAAGGTATTAATGTTCAAAATAAGAATATTTTAAGTTTTATTTCTCAAATATTAGTAATTAGTATTAATACATATATTTATACAAAAAAAATTGAGAAAATATATATATTGTGTTCAAAACTATAAATATGTTATAAAAAGGAAAATTTGATATAAAAAGGGTTATGTTAATTTATTAACAAAAAAAGAAGAAAATAAAATATGTTTTTTCATTCTAAAAAAAAAGGTTAAGTTGATTTGAATGGGCCTTGGGAGTCTTATGGCCCAAACAGAAAAAACATGAGGGGGGTGTGAATTGGGACGCTTGGGCTTAGGTGATCAAAAGGGCAAGGCCCAAACGTCTTAATGTTTTAGGGTTGATCAGAGTTGTTTCATTTGGGACATGGCCTAGGGTTTGTGTACACAG